GTTAGTGCATAATCTGTAAAACAGGTTATTTTTCTAACTTATGATTCATGTCAGTGCACGCCTTTGCTACCAAATTTACTCGCAAAACCATTAGTTCACATCTAAACTTTCTGAAAAGCACTGTATTTTCCTATCTTCATTCCCCCAGATGTATGAGACGTACTGTCACTTTATGTTAATTGTCAGGAATAGTCAAATTTAGTGCAAGATTATGAAACTTGCAGAAAGACAATGTGGTAGGAACAATGACTGATGGCATTTTTTTCCCCTCCCTAGCATACTGGACTATGTCTGATAGGGGCCTACTTGCCACAATAAAGGAATGCCTCTTCATGTAAAAAGGTGTGGGAAGCCTGGCATGTGGGTGGGTACACAGGCCTACAGTTCATGAAAAATAAGGGTCAGTACTCTAGCTGACCCCAGCTCATCAAGCACAGCATTTCCTTTCTAACAACTTCTCAGTCAAGCGAACCTCCCATGATGATTACACTCCAATAGCGAGGTAGCTATAAACATCATTTTAAATACAGACACAGGAAGAAAATGACCACTTCCTTTTTAGACTTCTGGCAATGGTCTAATTTTGAAAATATCCTGCCATTTCTGGTTCCTTTTATTTTGTTTAAATATGTTCATTATATAGTGTGTATGGTAAAGGTAGAAACACCTGTTGGAGATAATCGGGACAAAAAGGTGACTGAGGAAAGGCAAATTCTAGCTCTGAGGGAAAAAGCCAATGGAAAGAGAAGGGTTATGCTTCCTTGAGTACTATGCTAGTAGCTCTCACCAGGTAAGGAATCGCAAATGTGGGCAGCAGGAGGTGGCATCAAGCCCTAAAGCTTCCTGTCAGGACTCTCCGGAATAGAATAGGGGAACTCCATTCACCCACTGGCATTCTGAACAAGCAGCAGACCCTTTTCTCCCTCTGCAGCTCGCTCAAATGCTGAAGCTACAAGTCCTTGCTAACCCAAAGGAGATGGGCGCCAAGCAGGAATGCCAACTTATGTGATGTTCAAGTTCTATTTTCTGAAGAGTTTGTTGAGCATCTCCAGGTGCTATGCTCACTTGCACTTTGCTCTTGATCTAAGGCATGTTATCTGGAACTATGGGAAGAGACTAACAGGTCCACAGCTCAATCTGAAGCATTCCCAGTGAAATGAACAACGGAGACTGTATTACAGCCACACATGCACTCCTGACAAAGGTCTGTATTGAACAGGCCATGTCTGTACCTCCCAGAGAGGACACATAGGGCACTTAGGCTTCTAAACAGGGATAATAAAATCACTTTTTCCCCCAACAATACCGAAGCAAATCACTTCACCATCCTCTTAATTCCATGTTAAATGATTTACATGAGGGCTTTTTTTTTTATAACTTCCATTTTCTAATCTGTTATGGCTCATGAGTAAATCTTATGACTTTATGTAAATCTTCATGAGTAAATCTTTATGACTTTTTATCTGTAAGGCTGTACAGTTAAAGGAAAAACACATTTGTAAGATTTAAGAAAAAATTGTGAGAAGATAGGTAGCCTGACAGTAGGGTTCACTTTCCATCCTGCTGCAAAGATAAAAATAATGGCGGAGGCCAAAAGACACATCTGTTTCCCTCCTTTAAGCTTTTAGCCTCTGATGCCCCCCTTCCCCCCAAAAAAAAAGAACTTTTCTTTCAATTCTATTTTCAGACTCTTTCGTGTGATCTTGAAAAATATTTCAAAGAATTCCATGATAAAGCCATAGCAAAAGGTTCATTCTTTTCAAATAAACTGGCCTTTATCAACAGTGTTTTCTAACTCATGGTGGTCCATCTTTTGATTTCCGGATCCTTCTCTTCCCTTTCTGAACCGCGAGGGAACCCAGAGCCTGAAAACATTGGGGTTCAGATGTCTGAGTTTCATTTCAGGCTTAACCACTAATGTACTATACAGCATGGGGAGCCGCTTCACTTTTTCTGTAACAAAGGAGTCTTCCATACGACAGGAGAAGATAATAGCATTGGCTTGGCATCTCCTCAGGAGCTTCAGGAAGCATAATTAATTAACATTAGTACTCTTGAGACATAAAGAGCTATTTAAGTATAAATCTTAATTATCATGATTATTATGAGTCTATGGCCCAACAAGACTCTTCATGGTTATTTAAGGGAGAAAAGCAGGTAGAACTTTATTTCCTTTCACTCCCAGGACAAGAAATGGGTCCTGATAAATGGCTTAAGCGGCAAGTAGTCGGGGTGGGAGTGGGGGGCTCTATTTTCTCAATGTGTAACATTTG